GCGTTTTGCTGCCACTGGCTCCAGATTCCAGGTTCACTCTAGCCTCACGCGTCATTTTTCCATCGCTGGGGATGGCGCTTTTCGCGCCCTTCTATGCTGGCGGCATCAAGGCCGGGCTGTTGATCAGGTTTGCGCTGACTTGTAGCTTCGTGCCAACTGCAGCCCGGGTTTGGATATCAGCGGGCCGTGCTCAATAGGAAGATGGGACATGTTTGCAATACACGTGCAAGGGGCATGAATGTGTGAGACGCATTGCTTGTAGACACGGCCCAAGTCTCAGACGACGAACCAAGTCATGCAGCATTAGTTGAAGGAAGGGTCTCAGCGTTGGAAAGCAAAAGGGTAGATGATGAACAAGACATTCCGTCCGGCTTATGTTATTAAAGGCCGCCTCATTGCACAAGCGCGACTGCCTTCAGGTGTGCCCTCCTCGCCTTTTGGGCCACGAGAGGGACGAGGCGCGGCCAGATACAAGCGCTTTACAAGCATCTGTGTTTGTGTTGTGCATGTACACACATATATATATATATATATATGTGTGTGTGTGTTTTTGGGTGTCTCGATACTTCTTGTTCCTATTATTCGGGCTCGGGTGCTTGGTTTGCTAGTGGTTTCTGGCAAGTCATGATTTATCGATGGGCTGTTGTAGCTGTTGTTTTGCTACCTGGTCCTGGCTGTTGTTTGTTCATTTTGACTTGTGCATGTACTATTTGGCCCTTGTTATTGCCGTCGCTTGGCTTATGTGTGTATTGCGTTGCTTCATGATCCTTGCTCTTAGCCTTGGATCTGTCTCCACCTAATGCCCCTAATGATGTATCTAGCGTCTCCGTACGCAGCATAACTTGGCTGTCAAAATGCTTTCCTGGCATGCGCGCATGTGCGACACCGAATTCCTGGCAATCAAGTCACGCGTAGTCATGCCTTCTGTGCCCTCCGGCCGCGCGCCTAAAGCACAGATTGCCTGCCAGGTCTTTGGTCAACGAGCTCTCTGAGCAGATCCATGGACAATTAGAAAGCACATGTTTCACGTGTTTGGCGTGTTTCACCTGGGATCCACTGAGAGTGCTGCGCCTTTTCCAAATGGCAAGAACGAGCCGCGCAGGGGGTTGAACTTGAGCTCGTCGTGACCGAAAGTATTGGTTAGACAGTGAAGCCAATCCCGGCGACCTCACGGAGGGGGTGGGGTCGCACGATGTCAAGATCTTTATCTTCGAAGTGGGGGCAGCCTCAGCCTGGCAATGCCAGCTGGGCTTGCAACTGTGCGCAGAATCAAAGAAAAGCCTCGGGCCCGGAGCATGAGAGTCGGTTTGGGGCGGTAAGAGGCCTTCACAAGAATCTAATCCTCGACGACTGCTTGACCAAATGTTGGCATTTCAAGTTCTGGGATGCAGGTGTTGCAGCTTGCCCTCCAAAGCTTGAATCACAAGTTCATTGCAGCAACTCCGCCTCAAGGTCCAGGAGGGAACCAATAGGATCCTGGTCAATTTCACGGATCCTCATATCAACAGCTTCAAACCTTTGCTTCGCAAGGAGCCCGCTCACCCCACCTATTCGGACGACGCCAACCTGCTCACGTTTGGCGACTTCGGGGATGAGAACTTCATAGACTCAGCAGCCACTGGTCAAAGATGCCAGCGCAGTAGCACATTGAATTCTGCCCTGACTACTTTGCACGGTACGGTGGGAGCGGAAATATAGACTGCGATATAACACGCGGACATGCTCACTTTAGCCGACGTGACATGTTCTATTTGCTACTCAGCCATGGTACTATAGTACTACCAGCAAAGCTGGCAGAGCCGGAAGTTTCAAGAATATGAGAGCTACAGTTTGGAACACGCTCGTGTTCCCCTTTTTGCGCTCGCTCGCTCTCTGTCTCTCCAGCCGACGAAGTGAACAACGCAGAGAACCAGGATATTGTTGGGCCAAAAGTCCGCCTTGGGTTCACTGTTTGGACGGCGGCCCAAGCTGACAAACGTACAAATCCACGAGTTGTTGGAAGTCGACGAAGTGCAAATCGCACGGTCCTACAGCAATTACGTTTGAATGTCGACCGCCCCAAAAGTCCTCAGAGGGTTGCTTCACTTTTCGAAGATCGCGAAGCTGTGCGCGCGGCCGGGCAATAGGTCCCGTTTCCGAGTTGTTTCCGAAACAATGCCAATCGCGGCGCTCCGAGATTAACGTTTTTTTGCTGGCTTCTATTCTATTCCCCGGTTCTGAGTGTTCCGGCATTTTCTTGGCGTTTCGCTCTCGGCGCATTTCTGCTTAAAAAACCGCACGCCTGTGCATTCACTCTTGAAGACAGCCATCTCAATCTGGTCCAGTACTGCGGAAGTTCCTTCTAAACTTTGCTTGACAACCAGTATTTCCACCGAGTCGACCAAGAATTGATCAAGTCCTGTGAAGCTGCCGGTTGAGCAAGATGGGAATGGCGGTGTCCCTGTTTGTTTTTGCCTTCCCGACACTTAAAGGCTGACCAACTTTTCGGAAGGGCCAGCGCCGAATCATCGCAGGTAGAACTTCAACTTGCTTTTGATGCCAAGTTATGCCTCTTGAACATGGAACATGTTGCTGCAAAGGCCTCGCAGTCTCAACTGCTGCATTCTGACGGTCCAGGAAGCTTCGGATCGTTAAGGCAACCTTTGTGTGACTCCACAGGGGTAGCATGTGCATAATGTGATTGATGTTTCCACCAAGCAAAGACCGCATTAAACTGGACAACCTTTTCAGAGTTCCATTCCAAAAGTGGTCGGCAAAGCTCTTGCACCTCCAGGACTAGCCAGTGCTCAGCTTGGTCTGCCGTATATTCTTCTTGATCACGGCTCAGAGTGGATTTACACACTAGTTGAGCGTCCAGAACATCAGCACGGGCGCAAGCAAACAGGCACACACACGCACACAAAACACAAATTCGCGAACGAGTGCACGCACGCACGCACGCACGCACGCACGCACGCACGCGCGCCCGCCCACCCACCCACCCACCCACCCACCCACCCACCCACCCACCCACCCACCCACACCCACCCACACCCACCCACACCCACACCCACCCACCCACCCCACCCACCCACCCACCCACCCACCCACCCACCCCCACCCACCACCACCCACCCACCCACCCACCACCCACCCACCCACCCACCCACCCACCCACCCCACCCACCCACCACCCACCCCCACCCACCCACCACCCACCCACCCACCCACCCACCACCCACCCACACCCACCCACCCACCCACCCACCCACCACCCACCCACCACCCCACCCACCACCCACCCACCACCCACCCACCCACCCACCCACCCCACCCACCCACCCACGCACCCACGCGCCCACGCGCCCACGCGCCCACGCGCCCACGCACCCACGCGCCCACGCGCCCACGCGCCCACGCGCCCCCGCACCCCCACGCACCCAGGCACACACACACACACACATTCACACTGGCACACACACACACACCTGTACACACACACACATGTGCATTCACATGTGTGATGCCCGCTCACACGCGTACATCATACACTGCACTCACCCTGAACTCCCAAGACATTTGTGGACGCAATATTTGTTTAGAAAGAGCGTTTGCCATGCGCTGTGGTGCTACGAGTACATCTCGGCCGGGCACGAAGCTCAGGGAAGCTTCAGGTTGTAAGACGTGATGAATCCAGGAAAGGGGTTGCGAATGGAGGGCCATTTTTTAGGATTTTTTCTTCTTCTTTTTTGTAAAAGATTTTGTGTTTCAGGGTGGGTGGCTTTTTGGCTTTTGTGGCTTTTACGTGGGTTTTCTGTGGCTTTTGTGGCTTTTCATTTCGCATCCTCTGCATTCACAGTTCCTCTCTGTTTGTTTTTTTTTTGCATCCTCTGCATTGCCAGTTCCGCTGCAGGCTTTCTGGCTTTGGCTTTTCGCATCCTTTCCCAGTTGGTTTTTGGCTTTGGCTTCCTGCATCCCCAGCATCGCAAGTTCCTCTCCGGTGCCCCCACGCCACCCCCTTTCGCTTAAAATGCACGCCTAATTGAATCATAACTTTTTCGATCATCATGCGACAGCTACTTTTTTGGATTCTTTGCCCCTAATTTTTCGATCATCATGGGGGGGGGCCCGCCGCCCCGCTGCTTTTTTTTGCCCTAATTGAATCATCACTTTTTCGCTCATCATGGGGGGCTGCCCCCCCCCCCCCGCCTTTGTTTGAATCATCGCTTTTTCAATCATCATGAAGGCTGCTGCCCCCCCCCCCCCAACCTCCTCCCCCCCCCCCGCAGCTTTGTAGATTTTATTGCCCCTAATTGATTCATCACTTTTTCGATCACCACCCCCAAACCCCTTCGCTACTTTTTGGATTTTTGGCAGAGATCAAGGGGAGGGCTGCCGCCCCCCCCCCCCAACCCCCCCGCTACGTTTTAGGTGTTTTACGGGGATTAGTTTGCCTGTGTCTGAATCCTCACTTCTACCATGAGGGGGACGGGGGACCGCCCCTCTTTTTAACATGCATACATAAATGCCTACCTACCTTTGCCACAGAGGAACTGATGATGCTGAAGCCAAGGCCCTCGATTTGCTGGTGATGCTGGGGATGTTGGCTGGACATGGGGGGGATGTTGAAAACGATGCTGATGATGTTGACGGACTAGCGTAAAATTTCGTACATGTCGCGAGAAAATGCTGTAAACTACAGAATTTTAGTAGCCAGCACGGAAAACAAAAAAACATCCCAAAATAAATCAATCAAAACCCAAATTAAATCTCGACCCAAACACAACCCCTACGAAAGTCACAGTGATCAGTGGCAAATGAACCAATGTCCGTCCTGACGAGGGCCGCGCAAATGTCAAACAACTTATGAAAATGCGGAGTCTCCAAGAGTCAGCGCCAGAATCATACGCCTCGGGGGATCAAAGAAAAAAACAATAAACAACTAAAAACAAAAAAGGCTCACAAAAACGGCAACCCCACGTTGCGACTGCTAGTTTTTTCTTTGTATGTTGCGATGGCAGGGCTCTGGCCGAGGGCGGCGCTGGCCACCTTGGTCCGGCAGCCGAGTGTTCGCGGTCGCGGTCGCGGGGTCGGCAGTCGCGGCCACCAAAAGGATCTCAGTTTTTGAGTTTATGGACTTTCAGTTTTTTTGGGAAGACGCGTCAAGTGGCAAAGGAAACGTTTAAGGGCTGTTTTTGTTGGAAGCGAGAAACGGATGTCACATGTTGACCTCAGCTCGCCCTTGGGGGTGGGGGGAGTGAAACCGCGTGCGGTGGACGCGTACGGTCTAGTTTGCAACCTCTTGCTTTAGCGTATGTTTGGTTTGGACCCGCAAGATCATCTCTAAGTGTCCACGGTACAAAGCCCCTTCGGCTTCTCTCGGTGCTTTGTCGGGTTTCCAGGCCCGAAGCACCATGCTTACGGGTTTTTAGGGCTGCCCCGCGTAGACTTCCTCACATTGTATCCCTAGAGTTCAAGCCCTGTTCAAAGAATGGCCTTCAGACACAACTTGGATGATGAGCTACTCCTGACCGGTCAATGGTGGTTGTATGAACCCAACCACGGTTGCAGTGTCGGCAACTGCATCCAAGGGTTGATACGGTTGCAGAAAAGTGGCAGCCGGATTCCTCTCGGATACCCATGCCGAATTTGTCCCAAAGGCATCGGCGAAAGGGCGATCCGGCCTACTAAAGCGTAATAACTTTCATTTGCTTGTCAGAATGTGGTTTTCTCTGTTGTTTTTTTAAAGTGAGTATGTTGTTTTTGTTCAGGGGACATAAACAAATGGAGGGCAAGTATCGGGAATTGGTGACTTGTTTCCGTGGCGGCTGATAGTCCGGGGCCGGGTGGAAACACTCAAAAGAAAGGTGCTTCTGTCATGTCTTGTGTTTGATGGATCCCCAGCCCCAAAGATTTGGTTTTCTATACTGGTTGCAGTTTCGAAGGGAATCTTTTGAAGGTTGGATTTGTTGATCCCTTGGTTTTCATGGCCGGGTGTCTTCTTTTGAATTCAAGCCGAACAAGTGTCCCTATTTGCTTTCATTATGCGCGAAATAGCAACATGGGCACGCTGACCATGGAAACGATTGTGAAGTTCAATTAGGGACCCACCCCAAAAGTAGTCTGGAGATTTAATGTCCACCAGAGCTTTCCCAAGTAGAGATCCACTAATATAAGCGTGTTTTGCAGCACCCCGTACACAATTGGTCCTTCAAAATGGTGAGTGTCCATGTAGACCACACCAAAAGACCCATCTCCCCCCTACCTCCAGAATCCACACCCAAAACCACATACCCCGCCCCCCTCACCTCTACCGCAGCCCCAGGCAAGTGGGCTCCTGAGATGATTTTGCGTCTCCCCATTGGCCACCGCGCTGACGTGTGGGGCGTTGCGGCCACTCGGCATATGCGACCTCCAAAGCGGGGGCCTGGGGGCTCATCCAAAACAATTTTGTAGGGTAGACGGTCTCATCCAAGGTGTTTATAGATTTTAGGGTAGACCATTTGTAATCTACATATATATACATATATGCATATGTAGAGAGAGAGAGAGAGAACAGGGTCAGAAGATACGATGTTTGGTGTTGTGCCTGTGATGTCGAAGGGGGGTCTCATCCCTTATGCTTTGGGGTAGACTATATATACCCGCAGCCTCCGAGGGTTCCGAGGGTTGCTGTCACCCCCTGATCCACCCCTGTCCTGCCGGCCGTGTTGTTTTAGAACAGAGTCAGAAGGTTTTTTTTTGGTTGTGCCTCAGATGTGGCTCAAACAAAGGGGCAGTCGATGACTCTGGGTCTACTGGAGGACCTAGTCTCTCTCTCTCTCTCTCTCTCTTTCTCTGTGTTTCTGCATCCCTCTCTCTTCCTGTGTCTCTCTCTCTGTCTCTTTCTCTGACTCTGTCTCTATCTCTCTCTCTCTCTCTATGTGTCTGTCTCTTTCTGTCTCCCTGTCTCCTTCCTGTGTCTCTCTCTCTCTCTCTGTCTCTTTCTCTGACTTTGTCTCTATCTCTCTCTGTCTCTCTCTCTATGTGTCTGTCTCTTTCTGTCTGCCTGTCTCCTTCCTGTCCACGCCGCTCTACAGAAAAAGGGCACCCGTATTCTATCCCTCTACTGGAGGACCTAGTCTCTCTCTCTCTCTCTCTCTGCTCTCTCTGCTCTCTCTGCTCTCTCTGCTCTCTCTGCTCTCTCTGCTCTCTCTGCTCTCTCTGCTCTCTCTGCTCTCTCTGCTCTCTCTGCTCTCTCTGCTCTCTCTGCTCTCTCTGCTCTCTCTGCTCTTCTCTGCTCTCTCTGCTCTCTCTGCTCTCTCTGCTCTCTCACTGCCCCTTCATGACCTGTCATCTCACTACTGGCTTTTGAAGTTTTTGTCTCAGAAGCGACTTCTATTTCGCTACTTGCGCTGATACCCCGGCAAACGGCCAAGAGTAAACCTCTACTTGGGGGGAGGAATGGGGAAGTTCGGACAGACCTCAAAGGCTCTTCAGATTCCTGGGATGTTCGGCACTTCGGGCTAACTGCCTCATCCCTTCGGCTCCGAGCTTCAGAAGACAAACAAGAACATCGCGAGAAAGGCGCCTGGTTCCTCAAAAGGGTTGAACCGGACTTTATGCCTATTTGGAGTATTTGGTTGGATCTTTGAACTTTAACCTTTTGGGAAACAGTGGATTTTCCATTAGATCCACAAAAAGGTCACTTTTTTTTGGCAGAGGGGTCGTTGCTGCAACCAAAAGAATTGGGTTCGTCACCGCGAGCCTAGCCTCAGGTCTCGCTCTGCGAGCTCTTTTGCGGGCGCATGGTTTGGCGATCAGAAGCCGACTCCGCGGAGGCCGAAAGCTGAACGCGGGATGAGGTGGACGTCGGAAACGTCTGCCTGAGCCGATATACCACCCCTTAACGAATGGAATTTGGGGGGGGGGGGGGTGTAGAATGGATTCGAATTGAATTGTCCCATTCCATTTATCAAGTGTATTCAAGTGTACTTGGGGAGCTCTGATTTCAGGACTTGGAATTGCACAGGTTGCAAATCATTTCTCATATTAGTTGTGCTTGGGGCCCCGTTGGATTTGAGAAGTTTGGCGCGATGTGCGGACTTTTCCCTTGGACAGCCACCTTGGGTTATGCAGATCGGAAGGTCTACGAGCTTCGAGTTCGTTCCAGGGGACAGGTGCAATACTTCAAGGTGAGAGTGGACACTCCATTGACTGGTTACAAACTCGAATGAGAATATAGGGGGCTAAACAATGACTAGTATACTCCTGCAATTCTGACTAAGAATAGTTCTATTCTTTCTGAGAAACCTCCAGGAAAGACGCCAGGAAGTTCGCCAAACACCCACCAAAAATGGATCATGTGGTTAATGTCCTGGAGATATTCCTGGAGTTTGATTCTGGTGCTGCCCCAAACCTCCGGTTAGATTGGTACTTTGGGGATGTGAACCCGTGGCTCTTGTAACGGGAACCCCCGGTTAAACCGCCGTGTGTTGCTCTGATTTGGGGTAAGCAGGCGCAACTTATTTTCGGTTTCCCTGAGGTTCATCCTTGTTTGACTCCCAATTTCGGCTGTTTTCTTGTGTCTCCCAGATGTATATATGCAACAGCGTCAAAACATATTCTTTGCTGTGCCCCCTTTTGTGGGCCAAGTTTTTCCTTCCGGACGCTTGCAGGTGGTCATGGCACAAGCTCTTGGCCTTTGCAACCTCCGGGATGGACTGCCTGCGCTGGGACCTTTTGGACAGTTGGGGAAGGGGATGTCGGGTCCAGCGAAAAGAAAGGGATCCTGGCCACATAAGAACTATGTGGCTGTGGTTGTCAAAACCAATGGGATCCCATTTTGGGGTAGGTGCACCACCCAGAAATTGCTATTTTAGTGATGGTTGGGATGTTCACTGGGGGGTGACCGGGATTTTGACCCATACCCATGTGTACATCTTGCTATGCTTACTGCGTGCGACTTTCAGAGGTTACCATGTTCCCCTGGTTGGCGATTTGGCAAGTAGTTGTCCGCAGTTTCACGATACATTTGCATCAGAAACTGCCGTTTCACAAATTTGCATCAAGAAACATGACGTAACCAGCAGTCGTTCCACCCAAACCTGTTGAGTGCCTCTTTGCTGGCGGCTTTAAAGGAGAACCACAATTTGTGGGGTCCCGTAACAAAAGGCCCTCAAATTTAGAAACCTGTGGCTTTTCAGCGGTTCCCAGACTAGACTTTGAGACTTCGAGAGCGTTTAGAGTTGGATTTATGACATGTCCCACGAGCAGCTCACTCCCCGAGTTCCGCTTCGGACTTATGTCACTTTTTGGGGGCGGACCACGTTGGTTGTATTTGTCAATTTGTTTGGTTGTTGTTGTGGTTTTTTGGCCCATCAACTCAATCGGAAATGAGGCACCGTTGTTGTGGATTCTTTGTGCAAGAACATCAAGGATCAACCACAAAGCCTCTTGGATTTGAACCCCTGGTTCTTGTAGAGGGTACATGACTCGGTCCCCCAGTAGTGCCCTTCTCTCCCCATTTTTTGGGGAGGGTTCCCCTGCTAAAATAGACTACAGACAAGAAACATCGGGTACCCGTATTCTAACCTCTCTACTGGAGGACCCAGATGAGGTTAGCCCCTACTTAATCTCCAGGCAGCCCGGCTCTACGTCTCTTCCGTACATCGCTGAGGTCCCTGCTGCGGCGCAGCCCGCTGGACGTGCGGCAGCTCTATACCCCGGCGAGCCTCGGGAGATTTGGGAACTCGGGAATGGAAGCACCCACCCGAACCTCAGATCAACAAGGTCCCCGAGTAGTGCCCTTCTCTTCCAACTTTTTTGGGGGGAGGGTTCCCCTACTAAAATAAACTACGGAAAAAAAGGTACCCTTATTCTAACCTCTCCACTCAAGGACTTAGTCAAACAGCCCTCCCCCTCCCCCTCCCCCTTGCCCTCCCCCTCGCCCTCCCCCTTGCCCTCCCCCTCCCCCTCCCCAACCTCCCCCCCAACCTCTGTTGATGAAAGGTGTTCCTTAGTAGTCGGGTATTTGGTTAATCCAATAATGCTAACACAAAGCAGAACCCTGGATTTTGATCGGGGGTTGTCCTGTTTCAGTGGATTTTTCAAAACACTGTTGGAGGGAAACGCCGGACCCCCCCCCCTGCTGGTCAACTCGGTCAGGCTAGTTAATTGGATCTTTGACCTTGAACTGCGTGTGCTTGGAAGTATGCATTTTCCACCCCACACAAAGTCAAGCCTAGTGCGCAGGGGGCAATATCCACCAAGTTGTGAACAACTATTCAGGGATAGGCTCCCCATTTCCGGGGATGCTGGAAAACTTTTCAAACACCTAAGGTGTGCTTGTATTTCTTCTGCTTGGACTAGGACTTGCTTAGGGGATTTTCTTTCCACTTGGCCTTACAGCGGAGCATGGCCTTTCCCGTTGTTTAAAGTTGCCCCAGCGCCCCACGTCACTGAACCATGACCATGTCGCGGAGGAAATCAAGGGATGCTAAACCACTTGTACCGTATCATCTTGGGTTGGTGGTCATTGAAAGGTTGATGGTCTTTGGAAAAAAGGACCCTGGACAAAAGGTCAGAGAAGCACCAGTGAGTTGCTCATACATGACTTGGCTACGAACGATTCACTTACATCGTTTGGAGGTGGGTGTGGTTTCAGTGGATCCTTTGGCCGTCGCTTGGTGTTCTAGAAGGTTCCAAGAGACCCTTCCGTTTTTTCATCGCGTTTGCCCTCCCATCGGCCACCATAGCATGTTTCCCAGGCTTGACAGCATGGTTTCCACTGGTGACCTGCTAAACAAAATATGGGTGTTTTTTTTTCAATAATAGGGATCCGTTCAAATGATTTTCCGTAGTTGTCCCATTCAAAACATCCAAAACGGGTTCCCCGTATGTTAAACAACCTCCCGTGTTTTTCCATTCTCTGGATTCCCGCTTGAAACCATCCCAAAAACAACCTAACACCGTCCCCAAAACCCGTTTTTCCCCTAAAACCATCCCAACACCATCCCAAAACCGTCCCCCAAAACCCGGTTTTCATCTCAAAACCATCCCAAAACCCGTTGTTTCCCATGGGATCTCCCTCGCAGGCGCCCCGGCATTGGCCGCTGCGGCGCAGCGGCTCGCTGATCGAAGCCCTGAGGCCCGTGGGACTTGGTTCTTCTCTCACTTCCGCAGTTCATGGACTTGAGTCACGTTTTATGGACCAGTCACTTTTTTGGCACTTTGAGTCATTTTGGGTTGGAGCATTTTAGCGGCAACAAGTTGGCTTACTTTTGTGGGCCATCCACATCGGACGCGAGTCTTTGCTTCTCGTTGGCTCCCCGCTACCTCGAGGTTTCACCGAAGGTTTCCCTGGTTGCATAGTGTCTTGCCTGCAAGCCCTGGGTGTGGTTCTTCCGGGGAAGCTTACCAGTCACCCCTTCCGGGTATCGAAACCGTTGTCTTTTCCGTATCCGTTGCTCAGAGGTCACCTGCAAGTTGGAGGTTGGAGAGCCACGCAGGCGAATGCCATGCATACCATCAGGTTGCGTGGGAGTCGAAGATTCCCCAGGCTCTAAACCTGAAGAGAAACATCAAGAACCTTCCTGCTGGGCAGCTAGGAGCCGCAGGGCGGTTTACATTTCAATGACCAGAATGTACATGACTCCATGACATGATTCTATTGAATGGGGGCGCTTTTGCTGTGGTAAGACTCGATCAGCTTTTGCAACTGGCCATGGGCACAAGCATAGTAAAGGCTGCGTGGATCCTAAGGTTGGACAGGCAGAGCAGCTCTCGGCCTATCTCTGTGCTATACGACAGGTGACCCAGTCAGATTGGCTGAAAAGCGGGATGGATTTGACTGGTCTCAGTCTTACCAGTTCAGTGTTCAACTTTAGTTTGCCAAGTTTCTTCTTCAGTTGCATTTAGCGCGAACAAAATGTTGTTCTGGTTATATAACACACTCCAGTTACCCCCTACTCCAAATGCCTTTGTTTCGGGTATGACGTCCACCCTTGACTAAAAAGTGGGAGGTTTCTTCTTCTTGCTCGTTTTGGGCCAGCCAACTCAGGTCAGTTTCACTGAGTAACACGGGTGCCGTTTGCCCTTTGTTGCTGCTTTGTGTTTGTTTTTGTGTTTGTTTTTTTTGTTTTTGTCGTTTTTTGTTTCCCCCCTTTTTTCTTTCTTGCTTTTTTTTGGGGGGGGGGAGGGGGGGAGAGGGGGAGGAGGGGGAGGAGGGGGAGAGGGGAGGGTTTCCCTTCCCTCGCGGCTGTCTGGAGTTCCAGGCCGAAGCACTGGGGCCTGGATCAGGTGCTGGGCCCTGGCTGGCAGGACTCGGACAAGGCCGGGACGCCGCGTCGCGCGAGCCGGCGCCGGGTCTGTCTAGGGCCGGGGGTTTTCCTTTCCCAGACGCTCCTGGCTTCGGCTGACCCAGACCTTTGATTGGAGAATTCAGAGGGGTGTTGGGGTCTCAAAACCTGGCGGTTTCAAGGCCCAGCATGAATCGGGAATCGGGAGCGTCTGGGTTGAAACCATGCCCCCTTTTTGGGTACCCGCAAAGACACCCGCATGGGTCTGTCTCAGAATATATTCTTCTTTGCCTGGGTTCAAAAGGGAACAAGGTCAGTGGGGAAGAGTCAATTAGAGCGACCCAGGGGGGGGGCTGCCTGTTCCGCTAGAGTCTGTGGCTGTTTCATTGGAAGCGATGAGGGACTTCTGAAGCCCATTTGCCCAGAGGATTCCAGATGTTCTGCGCCTGACTTGTTCCGTTTTGCCAGGTTTTTTTTGTTTTCTCGAAGATGGCCGCTTCACAAAAGGACCGCGTCCTTCTCTCCCCCCACTCCGAATACCCGATTTGGTTTTGGTGTGAAAGCTATGGGGTCGTTGGCTGAAAAGGCTCCGGAGTAGTTCGGAGCAGCTTTTGGGGAGTGTTTTCGAGAAGGGTGCAAGGGGGGTTGCTGTTAAGAATATCACCAGTGCTTCTTTTTCAACGTGGGGCGGTAATTGGTGGACAAGCCACCTGTTTTTTCTCATGGTAAGTTCCTCCTAGTCACGGGTTGTGCTGGGGACGCGGCATGGAAAATCACTTCAGGGCACCAGGGATGCGAGATGCGCCCCACCTAGGAGATCTGACTTCGATACATCCACGCAGGTTCGTGTGGACGTGTCAAAATAGGGATTCGGAGCCTCAAAACCGGTGTCGTGTTGGTTCCAATAGAATGTACCCAGAAATAAGTAAACAAACACGGCATCCCTGTGGCTGCTGGCTTCAGATCACAGTGAATAGTGCTTGATTAAGAGGTTTGGTTGTTGCTTTTTCTGGGAAAAAGCAACACGAATGAGTTTGATTCGCTGTGCCCAAAGCGAACCGACCTCTTGCTCTCTTGGTTTGTCCCTTTTGGCTTGAGCTTCAGAGAAGTCCCCCAGCCCCCACATGTGTGTGTGTGTGTTGCTTTTGCTTGCAGGAACAAGACACAACACACACACACACAATGAGTGGTTTTGTTGGTTGGTAAATTATTGGTTCAATCACATGCTTGTTTTCGTGGGAGGCCACCGTGGTGTTTTGGCGGTATGTGAAATGAATCTGTAATTGTTCATGTTTTTGTTTGGCCAGGGGTTGACGAATCATACCCTGAAGCAAGGCCAGTGTTGGAGGTGGGCCTATGCTTCAGCGATCAGGGACCACATGACTTGCTGGTTCTCGGGGAACTTCAAGTGTAGTACGTAGCCAGACGGGGTGACCCGCCAATGTCATGTGTTTTCGCATGTTTCCCTAGAGGCGAAACCTCCGAACCACCGGGCTCCAAAGCAACCAAAGGGAAGCTGAAATATAGCTTAAGTAAAATCAAGGCCCAGCAAAAGGGCTGGACAACAAGAGGCCCACAAAAAGGGAGCTGACGCTGAGGTGGATCTGGGGCAGATGCTCCTGGCGGGCCTGGTGCTGGTGTCTTGGCCCGAAAAATGCGTCACTCCACGGGTGTGATCCAAGACATGTTGTTTGAAGGGTGCCCTTTGAAGCCAACCTGAAAAAGGGAACCCTCCAAAAACACACACCCATATGTTACATTTGTGGGTTGACTAAAATGAAGTAAAACGAACATAGCTCTGAAAGCAAATTGTTTCTGGGTACCAGATTGCCAACATGGGAATAGGCCAATGATGATTCAGGAGGTTTCTTTCGCTCGCTCTGTAATCACAAAGTCCGGCCAGTAAGAAACCGGCCTGTCTGTTGATCGGGTGCTTTGTTGACTGCACTGTTCGGAGTTCCAACGATCCCTCGTAGGAAGGCTCACACATTGCTTCAGGATTGGTTTGCGGATTTGCACCCCTTGTTCTTGTAGAGGGTTAGTTGGTACCTCCCCTAACTTCCCAACCACCAATCCAAACTACCAATCTCGGAGCTGGCTGATGCGTCGTGGCTAGTTATTTTTTCCAACTTGACTTGTCCGCGAAGAGCTCCAGCTCTTGGGTGCTTGTTTTTGACCGACACCCACATGAGGAGGATATTCTTGGTATATTCTTGGTATCACATGGTGTTGTTTCATTCTTGCCCAGATCCGAGTTGCCACTCTAGTAGGCAACCAGACATGTTCCTTTTGGTGAATTGGAGAGTGGTTTCGTGGTTTGCCTATGTTCGATGAAACCACTGACACCTTGCCAACATTGGGGGGGGTAGTTTTCAAGGGCAACCCAAGACAAGAACCACCAATTTCTGGGGGTTCCGTATTTTAAGAGACACCCATTTGTGGGACAAACCTGTGTGAAATTGTTTGTTTGTGCAGACCTTAGACAGATGTCACACGACTCTTGCGTATAGAAGCTCCTACGCACTGTACTGATTGGCCTGGATCGCTTTTCTTGCTGCCAGTGTGCCAAGCACAATGCCAGCTGCTGAGCCTAGGCGTCCTTCATCTCATTGCACTCATAGACCCATAGTCAAAAGTCTTGCTTAATGAGGGTGCACCTTTTAGGGATTTGACGCAGCTTCCAGTGATGCCCCCTTTTTTTTGTGTCCGGTTGGCCTGGAAAATCAGCAACCAAACAGAACGA